AATATTGTACAGTGCAGTTTTGAAACTGATAATTAAATAAATCATATTAATGTTAACTAACCATAATAAATGATAGAATTTCACTAAATTTAAATTGCCCCCCGTATGGTTGAAAACAGCAAATTGATATTTGATTACTTATAGATTATCACCTATATACAAAATGACACGGAGACCTGGAATATGGCGCCCAACTTGATTAGACCTTCTGCGCATGTTGAAGCTCATTCTCTATCCCTTCTATTTCTCTGGTTTACCTCTACACTCCATAGATGAGTTATAATTCGTTATAACTCAAGAAAGGGGAACACACAATAGATCTATAAGGTCGCGGAGATTAACTCCCCTCCTAAACATTCTACTAATTCTACTATACCAATCCAAAAAAAACTCAAAAGCAAAATAAATAAAATCCTGAAATCGTTTTCTGTCAACGTAATAATTTTAAATTTAATTTTACTTTATTTTGTTTTATATGTTTTTTGTGTGTAAAAGTCATAAAAAATAGAAATATATATTTTTAATTTATTGCGAAAACGGAAAATCAAAGTGAAAAAAGGGTCAAAGAGTCAAAAGTAGTTTAGTAGTACAATGGAAGTCCGAAATTCTATTAGTTTTAATACTCAATCATTGCCTACGGCATTCAAAGTAATTTTTATTATTAGGTATCCTGCAAAATGACAAACAAGATTCATTTCTAAATTACTGTTTTTCTGATTATCCGTATCTATTTTTAATTTTTATGGATAGCTCATGACAATTCAGAGAGAAAAGAACAGAGGTCTCGTTGTTTTTTATAATAAGGTCTGCCGTTTTTAATATGATGTTTGCCAGATCATTTTGGCAATTTTCAGTACTTACATATACAATATTATACAAAGTTTTTTAAATGTTCTTCTAAACTGGATGAATTTATCCTGGATGGGAATAATGATAGGTTTACAAGATATTGGAATTACAAGAATTACAGGAATTACAAGATAAATTTGTACCAGATTTTTATGAGTGCAACTGTACACTCAAATCTCGCGACAAGCTTTTATATAATATAAAATTGTGTAATGACGTTATAAGTTCATAATAAAAGTTTTAAAAAAAAAGTTTATTTTTTTCATTTTAATGTATTTAAATAAAAGCTTGTTTTTAAAAAGTTTTTTTTCATAAATTTATTTTTTACTTTTTAGTTATGCTGTTTTCTCAGTGTCACACACAAACTCAATTCTTTTTCTTAAATAACTTCCTATGGGCATCCTAATAATATGTGAACAGTACGTCTGCTGGATCTGTGTCTACGAAAGGAATGCGGACAAAAAACATTTAAATAAACAACAATGTATTTTATACGTCGACTTGACGAGTACGTCACCGCAAATCGCTCCACCCACTCATTTTACTGGCTACATGCAAATTTGTCGAATTTCTATTGATGGGACGCGTCGTCTAATTTTTTACGAAAAACATCGAGAGAATATCGTTTCCCCTCTCACGGATACCCCGAAGCTACAGAACGGACAGACGTACTGTATATCGATTTTCATTAAAAAAGGAGAACTTAAAAAAAACACAGACAGCTGTCAAATTTGACAGTTCGAATGTGAGGGTGCAGCCACACTATCCTAAAAACGGCGTATCGGCGTAACGACCTTGAATCGATTTCCAGTAATTCTATTGGCTGAAATTTTTGACAGATGAATTTGACAGATAAAATTTCTGACAGATGAATGTTTCAGCCAATAGAATTACTGGAAATATATTCAAGGTCATTACGCCGTTAGGTCGATACGCCGTTTTTAGGATAGTGTGGCTGCACCCTGAGACAAATAAAATGAAAATCGACTATGGGGTAGGGAGCATCCAATATATCGATTTTTATCAAAATCGGACAACTTTGAAATTTTTTTGACAGCTGTCAAATTTGACAGCTCAATTTTTTTTTCTTTCATTTTAGCCCATGGCAATCCTATATATCGATATTTTTCAAAATCGGACAACTTTGAAATTTTTTTGACAGCTGTCAAAAATTCCGGTCATGCCTTGTATGAAAATGTATTGTCATCGGAACTGAACCTACATGCCAAATTTCAATTTCCTACAATGAAAGGAAGTGCTTCTAATTTAGCTTACAAGATTTGTCCCGAACAAACATACATACAAAACAAGTTAAATAAAAGCTTGTAAAATAAGCTAGGGACTGCTTCCCATTGGTAAAGATACCTCTTACCATAACAACATTAGACACCCGAGCTGGTTTAAACTCTCTGTTCCCCTTCTGGTCCTCAAAACCTACAATATTATCACGACCACTATTGTAAAATAAATTGCACTTGATATTCATATCATCAATACATAGAACACAATATCGATTAAGTTCATCCGGTTCATCGAAACTTTCAACTTTTTTTTTCAGAGTCTCAAATACACTAAGATTTTCTAAGCCAGGTTTGATATCAATGTCATATATTCATTATCTTAGTGTCTCTGGACGTGGAAGGCAAAATAGATTTGTCAAGGGCGTCTTGTATATTTTTGGGCCCGGAAAAGTATATAGCCAAATATTTATATTTAAATTCATCAGTTACTTTTCTTCCTTTAGCTGATTTGTTAATTTTTGCAATTTGAATATTAACAAAATTTGCTATGTCCATTGATGGACATAATTTGTACGTAGCCTCTTTATTTTTCAATAGATATTTTATTGGGTATTTCTTTAATTCTTGTTTGTAACTCCTAGCATGTTTTTAAATTTTAATTGTCTATTCTCTACGGTTAAATGTTTCATTGATTTTTTCATTTTTACTTTTCGAGGAGTATGCGCGGTTAACGATTAATTTGTTTAGATAAAAGTATTGTGTAAATAAAATTCAGTTTCAGTCAATTACAGTATTTTTTTAATACGACCCTGTCTATCAAGAGTTTATTTTCTGGGAAATTTTTTGATACGTTTTAATCCGGCCCTGACTCGGCACCCATAATGGTGTTTTCAAGGTCAAATGTTATAGAAATTTTAAACAATGGGATCTGGTTAGCCTGCCGTGGTTTGGTCTCGGGTGCTATTTGTCCTTGTATTCTTTAGTCATTGGACCAAACCTATGAAACTAGCTTCTACGTCCCACTAGTCAACTCACATACTCAACAATGTTGCCGTTTGTTGTCCCTTAATTTCATGATTTTCAATAATTGTCAGCTAAATTAGAGACGTTTATTTTTACGGTTTATTTGAAAGTTTGATTGTTATTTGTTTTATTTTGTGGTATACTATGGTATACTGGTACACTGGAGATATTTAGTGTTGATCCAATAGAAGCGGCTCTGGAAGCGGCAAACTTTTATATTGCTTTAAATTGGTTTATGTTTTCGAGGCTGAAAATTTCTCTTGATATATTTTCCACCATTTCTTTCTTCTTACCTTCTTCGCAAAGATCATTGTTATCAACTATATAATTAATATTACTAGATATCTGATTAAATACTTTTCCTGATTCATTTTTTCGTATTGTTTCAAATGTCTGTGATTCCATTGTGCCAATATTTTCTAAAATAATAAATTTTATATACATTCATAGTATATAAATAAAACTACCTACGATAAAACTACTCGCGTAGAAATTCATTGTAATATAGAGTATTGGCCGAAATATAATTTTAAACAAAATAAAAACAAACAAAAGTTACATATTATTCTTTATTTTTGAACTACAGTATAACATGTAAAACTTTAACAATTGGGCAGCTATAATCTACTTTATTTCAGTCAAAGTATTTTTGTACACTGTTTAAACAATAGTACCAATTTAAAATACGAAAACGTTTATAATATTAAAAACAAATTCTTCATTAAGAGAAGACTTAGTACTAGAATTATACATGACAACGAAATAAAAAAAAACAGCCAGATTTACAGCTAGTATTTGTTTATTTCTTATTTAGACACTTTTATATGTGTACAAGCTGAATAAATTGTGGTTTCAACAGAACATAATATAAATTAATAAATGCTTCTAGTGCTATTCTTTAAAGTTCTGTTAATGTTTTGTATGCTTTATCCATACAATATCATTTTTCATTTATTATTATTTATATTATTCTCCTGTTGAAACTACAGATATAGGTACAATTTTTCCATAAGCTTAAATTTTTCTTACATACAATATCGCAATAGATTACAATTCTATCACAACTCAAAAATAATATGGAGGGTGTATAATATAACAAGATGTTACTTGAAATTGTATGCAGAGAGTAGAGTATTAGGAATAAGAGAAAATTCTTAAGGGTGTGCAATTGCTCTAGTGCAATATTTGGTCCGAAAATAGATGGTAACTATTATTAAATGACGAATTATTATAGGTAGAGAAAGTGAAAAATTATTTATCATGAGGGAAAATCTGGGGAAGGCTGGGTTGTTTGTAACATTGATGGTAAATAATTCAACAAGTATTAAGTTTTAGGCCATATAAATATACCAGACGAATTAGTAAACTCTGCCATCCAGAAAATGACATGAAAATATAATGTTGTCACTGTCATTTATTGTCTCATTGGACTGACCTTACCTTGGGGTTGCCACTTTTTGTATTTAAAAAATCGGGATAGCACTGGGGCAATCTTTTTTCTTAAATGCAAAATTTTATTAATATGAAATAATATTTTATGCCTTTTTGCGTTAACTTAAAAAAACTATTCGAAATTTATAAATAATTATGTAAAAATAAAAAATAAAAATTTAAAACCAAAATTAGTAAAGAATGAATTAAATCTAAAAAACTAGAACAAGACCTAAACAAAATCAAATGTTTCAGCTGTATAATCTCTATAATTTGGCTTTATTAGTATATTAAATTATTTTTAAATGAACATTTTTGGCCAAAAAAAACACTAATTCACCACAATACACCAAAACACTTTAAAATATAACATACGTAGTACCGTATGATCCAAAAAAACGGCGTCAGCGATGGCTATGAAAAGAAGATCGCTGTCATTTTCTATGTAAATTTATATGGGAAATGTCATTTTCCAGCCAACTGGACGCCGTTTTTTTTTCGATCATACGGTATAAGCATAAAAAGGTCTTAACCCCTACAATGCGCTAATTTCCATTTATCACTTAGTGTTTTATTTGCTGTTCTAACACCAAAGATTCCAGTCCCCAACTCTAATGAATATTTATCATTTGTTTTATTGCTGTAAGAGCCTTGTCATTTTTAATAAAATCCAAAAATTCTTATCTGCGATATATTAAAATTAAATGAGATTTGGAGTTCCGTTCTAATGAGCTTAAATGAACATCTGAATATACTATATTTCCTAGCGTCTGTTTACTTCAACATCATACGTGAAAATATATAAATAACAACCTTGATGAAGGCATATAATTTACTCTAGTTTTTAAAATACTTTATTTTTTATTATCGAATATTCATTAAACAGAGTATCAATGTATATTTCTTTTAATTACAAAATTTCTAAGGTTTTAATTAATTCGCAGAAAAGAACTGTTTTTAAATTCCAGAAATTTAATAAACATATATTTTTAATAATAAATTTTACAATTTTATTGTTTAATAAAAACGTGGCTATTAAATAAATAAAAATCGAGACATTAGGGCCTTGCGTGGGGACGCGGGACTTTTGGATCAAAATCGGGACTGTCCTGACAAAATCGGACCTGGTGGCAACCCTGGACCTTATGTACCGGTCAATTTATATAGCCTAATAATAATAGTAGTTTTATCTCGGGGATGTGTTTATTTTTTTTTAATTAAAATGACTAAGCTCAGTCCCTGCCTGCCCATACTATGTTTATATAATTTCATTAACTATTAAGAAGCGTTTATTTTATTTTATATCTATTTGATATGATATTTTCGAAAACTGATTATATCGTACACTTAATGACTATACCTAAATGTATGAATGACCTTCCTATACTGTGTATTTCTAGATTTATTATGTCACCAACACAATTAAAGTTGATACACGTTTTCATGCTAAATCCTTTAGTTTTAGGCCGTAAACATAAACTGCCGAAGTACCATATTCAAGTGCCTCATTTCGATATTATTTGTACTACATTCGATTATTTCAGTTAAAAAGTGTCATTCTGCCAAACCCAAACGAAATGCACTTGGATGTTATAATTTTTCCTTTTGTTTCGACCAAAAAATAATGTTTCATATGAAATGTAGAAGAAATAAATCCACAAAACAGAAAAACATACAGGTATACTCTTTAGATCTGGATGACTTGGACTACACAAAATATTCTAATTCCATTTTTACCGATTTACCCACTGTTTCAGGGCTTCTTCAAATTCAATGGTTTCTTTATTACGAACTTCTTGATGCTCTGTATCTTCATCGCAATTTTCAATCTGCTGGCGATCTTGATTTAAGTGGTTGTCAAGTGTCGAATACTGCAATGAAAATATATCCCTAGTAAAATTCGTAAAGTTCTGTATATTTGTAATTTCAGAATTTTGTGCATTGTATAAATACACGGTATTATAAAAATATATGAAGAAATTGTATATTTTTATAAGTGTAATAAAAATAAAAGAAAATAAGATTTGAACTTGGAAATTCTAAATTCGTGGTCTGTATTTTAATGCATAAGACAGACTCTCGTTGGACTAACTTTATATTTATGTTGAGTCAATGTTTTTCTTTTTTTGTCAAGTATGAACACCGTGATATAATTGACTAATTAATTGTTGATATAAGCTTCATTCAGAACCTCGCAATTAGTGGAATAAATTAGTGGTTTCAATTAGCGTACATTTAGCGTCCTTTAATTCCAATATAAGCATTCAGAACGTTAAAATTAGTGGTAGATATTTTCAATTAGAAGAAAAAGTTATCAAACTTTTAACTTTTCCACTAATTATTCTTCAAAATTTGCGAGAAATGTCATTTGGATATTATTTTTTTATATGGCCTTTGATTATCTTCCGTCGAAAGAAATAGTGGTTAGAAATCAAAAGTTGATTGTTTTATGTTTTAACATTATAATCTAAATATTAGGCTTTCTCTATGGATACAAAACTGACTATTATAACACAAGCTGTTGCTAGGATATACTCATGGGATATACGAGTACTATTAATTTTAATTGTGTTAACATTATGAATGATCGTAAATTGTTGGTAAACTAAAAAGTATAAGGTGTAATTGAAACTACTACGTATTCCCCTAATTGCGAGGTTCTGAATGAAGCTATAATCAATTCTGTAAACTTTGCTATAATGTTCCAACCGCAGCTGCAATGTTATCTAAAATGCCTACTGTGGCCAGTTTTAATTGCTTGATGTATACTTAGCCGGCAATACCGCATAGAAGAAACATATCGACCTATTTTTTATATCTTTTTTATATGTTTGATTCTTCAATTAGGATATCTCCATCATCATCTTTCACGTTAAAATCCAGACCAAGGATTTAAAAAGATCCGTGCTGTAGGATGAAAAAGTATGAGACAATAATAAAAATGGTTTATATTTTAGTTTCAAATTGTGTTGTATGGTGTACTGAATATGATATCATATTCCAAATAAACATGCAAAGAGTGAACGAATCAAACGCTAGTGAAAACATGTGTGTCTCTTGTTAGTATTTGAGTCAGACACACCTGCGGACCAAACAGATCTTGATTCTGATCCAACTGTACGTAACCGTGCTGATTCAACGATCCACTTTGACTGTTAGGAAAGTGGATGCCTTGCATTTTGAAGTTCTGACCGTGGATATAATTCTGACTGGATGAGTTGGACACATGATTCACTTCCGGTGGACTAGACGGATGCCTGGCCCTCAGTTCTGCCATGAAATTAGCGTCCTGCATGTACCTGCGTTGGAGTTCTTGTTGCCAACCTACGTCAGACTCGTCATCCCCGTCGTCTTCGAAATCTGAACAAAAAGTTGGTTGTTCTTTGACAGATTGATGGATAGTCTCGAAAAGGAAATACGGATTTATGACTATACATTGAAATGCTTGTAAAATACGAGTAGTTATTGTAGAACATTAAAATGATGAAATTTGTAAGGCTAGAAAGCAACAATTAAAACTTAAGACAATAATGAGTTATCCTGGTGAATATACAGGGTGCTACAAATTCGAGGTACGATCATTGGTATCTCGGTAACCGTAATAAATACGAACATTGTTAAATTGGGACAAAGTTGCGCCATTGGATGTTCACCAAGATTCCATCAAAAAAGTTTTAAAAATTTCAAGGATTGCTGAGTTATTTGGAAAAAACGATTTTTTTTTGAAAATCAATTTTATTTTTTTCTGTGGTTACTTTTTAAAAAATCAAAAAACTAATTACACAATCTCATAGCCACTTTATCAGATCTATCTGATAGTTTTTTTGATTTTCAAATTAGCTGATATTTTGTGAGAAACATAGGCCAACTTAATTTTTTTAAATACGGACTTGCATTTTTTATTTCAGGTTTTGAAAGAATTCAGTCTCCTGAGTACGATGATATGCCACGCTTTATATATATTTTTTTGTTTCCGGCATTTAAACTATTTTTTTATTTAAACTAATTTCAAGTCCGGCTCTGTTTTTTTTTAATATTTAATCTATTCATCCTTACATATAATATTGATGAGCTTTAAAACTGACGTGGGGTAAAACATTGTATACGAAAAATCAAATTCAATAAAAGAATAAAAGATAATATAAACAATCATATCATTTCCCCGGAAGATGTATTGGAAATGGTGGAGCAGTAAAATGGCCAGCGAGGTTCCTAGACCTATCGCAATGGGCGGGGGCATTACTTGACGTCATTTGTAAAAGCGAAACCATATGTATATGGTGAGATCAATACATCTCAACATTTACAACAAAGAGTACAAAATGCATTCGGAAGTATAAGAAGATGTGCTGAAAGGGCTAGACATAAAGTTGAAAAAAAATAAATGTTTGCAGTAGGGAGAGTGGGGGAGAGTACCTTTCGAACATCTAAAGCATTAGAAATTAGTTTGTAGAAGTTGATATATTTATAATAACTACGATTAATATTATGCATATTATTACAGTACGTCTGTCCGTTCTGTAGCTACGCGGTATCCGTGAGAGGGGAAACGATATTCTCTCGATGTTTTTCGTAAAAAATTAGACGACGCGTCCCATCAATAAAAATTCGATAAATTTGCAAGTGGCCAATAAAATGAGTGGGCGGAGCGATTTGCGGTGACGTACTCGTCAAGTCGACGTATAAAATATATTGCTGTTTATTTAAATGTTTTTTGTCCGCATTCCTTTCATAGACACAGATCCAGCAGATGTACTGTAGATCGTACACAGGGATTGCAAATTCACAATAAAAAAAGTTAAAAATAACATCTTAAAATTGCTAACCTGGATATTATTTATTTAAATCTTTCAATTGCCTCGATTTTCCTTATTCAATGTTAATTAGCGCTCATCATTGTTGCGATGAATAAAATCAGGTTAAATAATTTAAAAATCCAGAGTCGGACTTGAATTTAAAATATGTAATAAATAATAATTAAACAGTTTTGTTGTTAAAGTAACCAAAACAAAACAAAATATAAGGTGTGGCACATCGTTGTACTCAGGAGACTGAATTCTTTCACAACCTGAAATAAAAAAGCAGGTCCGTATTTAAAAAATTAAGTTGGCTTATGTATCTCACAAATCATCGACTAATTTGAAAATCTAAAAAGCCACTTTATCAGATAGCTCAGATAAAGTGGCTATGAGAATGTGCAATTAATTTTTTGATTTTCAAAAAAATCGTTTTTCTCAAAAAACTCAGCAGTCCTTGAAATTTTTGGAACTTTCTTGTTAGCATGTTGGCGAACATCCCAAGGCGCAACTTTGCCCCAATTTAACTATCTTTGTATCTATTACGGTTTCCGAGATACCAATGTTCGTACCTCGAATTTGTCACACCCTGTAGAATTAAAAATATAATAAAAAACGGTATTATATAATGTGATTGATTTTATATAGTACATGAACCAAAACATATAAAAACGTGTTGTGTAAGTGTGTAAGCAGTAAAAGCTAAGCCTAAACTAGCCGACAAACCATGCCAATTCTACCAATGTTGTAAAAACAATATAAACAATACTTTAAATCAAATTTAATTAATAATAAAATGATTTTACCGTAGATACTGATGTTGATGTTTGTGCATGATTAAATACCATGTGACTGAGCTAGATTTTACTTATTGTTTGTTTAGTGCAAATTTATTAGTTAATTTCTTTTTAAGTCTATGAATTATAAAACAGAATGCACAATAGTAATAGGAACATCTGCTGTGTATATTCATAATCCAGATGAGCTTACTAATAAACAACATTTAATTTATTATTCATATAGTACTGTAATGCGTGTGGTAGATCTCTACAAAATAACTATACCGGGTCGGCATTTCTGGCTTTGGGTGCCCATTTTTGTGTGTAAAAAGAGTACAGTCAATACGCTCAGTACACTAACATGTACTGAACGTGAACGAATGGTAATTTATTTTTTAGAAAATTAAAATTACTGTTAAGTTACAAAACATAACAGTAATTTGGGCAACATAGGATATGAGAAAGGATAAACCTGCAGCACTAAGAAGTTTTTTTTATTATCCGGAATACTTCAATTAAAAAGGAAAATTTTTCAATATTTATTTAGCAAGAAAAACCTCATGGGCGGCAAACATAGTTGCTCTTATTATATTAACTTATATTTGACACCCTGTATAAGTTGAAGCAATAAAATCATACTTTTGGAGGCGTGCGGCCGGGAAATCGAAACTGGATAGAGTGAGAAATAAAAGAATTCGGAACATCATGGGCGTTAAACACAGAATAACAGAATATATCAAAATTAACCAACTCAGGTGGTACGGGTACGTACAAAGAATGGAAGAGAGCAGAATCCTCAAAAATACTCAATTGGACACCACAAGGCAAAATAAAGAGAGGGAGATCTAGACGGAGTTGGAGATAGTGATAAATGAGGTCTAAATTATAAGAAAATGCATTTTCTACGAAAATTTTAAGAGATGGGTAAAAAATGGTATAATACAATTTGATAGACAATTACATTGTGCATCTGATTCACGTAAAATATATAGGGTGTTCCATTTAAATTAAACAAGTTATTGCCGTTTAAAGCTAGTAATTATTTAATATAAATTTTTGGACACTCTGTATAAGGTAGTAAAATTTTTATTATTGCAGCACAATATCTGATCAATAAATAATCTTCAGTAAATATTTAGTATTAAAAACTTTGATACCCTTGGAGAAATGAAGCCTTAAAATTTTTATTGCAATTTCATAAAATTGAAAATATTTCAAAAACGGTAAGGTTTAAGTATGATAAACCTTAATCAAATTTACCTTTATTTCAATCGTATAATCCAAAAATAGAATAATATACAGGGTGTTCCATTTAAAAAAATACAATTATAATATTATTTGGGACACTCTGTAATTTGTAAAAATATTTATAAATTGTAGCTCTAATAGTCCTTCAACGAACACAAAACTTACAATTTGTAAAAATCTAATCGTTTAGCTACAATACTCCGTGTCGTAGGTGGTGAACAACCCTGTATATAAGTTGAAAACAATTAACAAAAAAATCAAGCTAAAAAATGGCAGTTCGTATATCTTTTCTGCGGGTTTAACATATTATATGTTAATATGAAAATATGCTGAAACATGCCATATGCTCTTCAGTGCCTAAGAAAGGTCTTCGCCAAAATTCACGGCAATACCTGAGCAAAGCCAGAAAGACAGTTAAAGCTGTAGTGGGTCTACTAACAAGGCATTGTTAGCTGAATAGGCATCTAAAGCTGATGGGATTGACGGACGAAGCCATGTGTAGGTTCTGCCAATCTAAAGAAGAAACGACAGAAAACATTTTAGGTTGGTGCGATAGCCTGACAAATGTGCGATTCTTGGTAATAGGCAATAAGCCATTGCCAGGGAAGTACATGGAGTGTTCAGTCTCCAAGTTGCTAGGAAAGGGTAAGACTGGAGAATATAATCTAAGGATCAGAAAAGGACCACAATAGATCTGAGAAAGTCGCGGTGGATCAGGCCGATAGCCCTAGACCTCTAGGAATCTAATCTAATTCTAATTCTAATCATAACCTCTGTATGGAATTACTTAGAAAGTGGTATTATAGATATTAAATACGAAGTACTTTCCATTCTGTTGAAAACCTGGCCTTCAAGGACTTTTTAATTATTGTAGCTGAACTGAGAGATGACAAAGATGTGCTTTGTCGTATTTGTCTTGTAAGTTGTCTAGTGGCAGAAGCGGCGAGAAGCCACCGAACTTGTGGCAGATGCTATTTAGCACTAAGTATTTTTTTATTTTCCGGAAAATTAATAAAAATGTCAAATCTTCAATACTTATTTCGCAAGAAAAACGTCATAGGCGGTAAAAATACTTGCAATTATTTAAAACCCTGTATAACTTGACAATTTACAAAAAAAAATCAAGATAAATAATGCTATTTCAAGATTCATGAGATCATTCAAGGTTAATTTGACAAACTCTAAGACATTAATCTAAGGACTGTCGCTCCTATTATTATTGTGTAATCTGCATGCCTATAAATTTTCATTTGATGAGTTAAACAATCGGGCCATTTAAATTATTAATTTTAAACATACGTATTTGAATTTAATCTGAGTCATTTATAAATATTTCAAATACTTACTGTTTATCTACGCCTGTCCTTATTGTAATTAGGAGTTGGAATTCCTTAATAATATGGTTTCTAACAGCCAACATTCCACAATCTAATATCACTAAGCAGAATGTCAATTTGTTAAATAAAATAAAAATAAATAAATAAATCGTTTTATAAATCACATCAAAACTTACCGTAATTACCAATAGAAAAAATAT